AATTCAAACATTCAGAAAAAAAGGTTAAAGTGCGAGAAGAAGCAGCCAAATTCAAGCAAGAAACAATTAATTTCTTAGAGGAAAAGATTAAAGAAAATGAAAAGGAAGCTAAAATAAAGCAAGAAATAATTAGCAATTTAGAAGAAAATGTTAGAGAACGGGAAGAAAAAATACGTTTTTTGGAAGAAAAGGTTAAAAAACGAGAAGAAGCAGCCAAAATCAAACAAGAAATTGTTAATGTTTTAGATAAGAAGGTTAAAGTACAAGAAAATGAAGCTAAAGCCAATCAAAGAATAATTAGCATTCTTGAGGAAAAAGTTAAAGATCGAAAAAAAGAAAATAAAGACAAACAAGAAACAATTAGCAATTTAGAAGAAATGGTTATAGAGCAGTTAGAATTTATTAACGATTTAAAAGAAAAAATGGGAGAAAGGGATGAAGTAATAAAGGCAAATCAAAAAGCTATTAATGAATTAAATGAACAAATTAAAAAACAAGAAAGTTGGTCCAAAGAAACTATTGATGAAAAAGTAAGGATCAGAGAGCAAGGAAAAAAATCAATTGCACAAGAATTTGATGATACTACTGAAAGTTAACAATTACTAAGCTTAATAAATATATCATATTAAAGACATCGGGAGGATTGTAAAGATATTGAAAATTAACAAAACTCATCTGCGAAGATTTTCATTTAACCAGCTTACCACTTTTACCAAATTCCTTAATAAATCTCAAATGTGATAATACTAAAATAACCCGCTTACCAATTTTAACCAATACCTTCTTAACAACCCTCGATTGCCATAATACTCAAATAACAAGTTTACTAACTTTACCCAACACCTTAAAAGAACTATATTGTAATAATACTCCATTAACTCGCTTACAAACCTTACCTAACTCCTTAACTATTCTTCGATGCAATCATACTCAAATAACAAGTTTGCCAAATTTACCCAACTTCTTAATGCATCTCTATTGCTTTGATTCTCAAATTACTAGCTTACCAACCTTACCTAATTTCTTAACTATTCTTCGATGCGATAGTACTAAAATAACTAGCTTACCAAATTTACCTAACTCTTTAACGGAACTATATTGCTTTTGTACTCAATTAACTAGCTTGTCAACCTTACCTAACTCCTTGATAATTCTTCGATGCGATACCACTCAATTAGCTAGCTTACCAACATTACCTAACTCCTTAATAGAATTGTATTGCGATAATACTGAAATAACCATTTTACCAAATTTACCTAAATCATTAA